TTTAAAATATTTTTAATAAAACTTATTTTATTTTTTGTATCTGAATAATTTTGATTAAAAAAATAAAATTGATCATTTATTAAATATATAATTTGCTTATAAATGTATATAATACAGTACTGCTAGGAATTTATGAATATCTTCTTTTCAAGATGCTTGTTAGAAAGTTAAACTATCTGCAGTCAGTTAACAACCAAAGTATTTCTATATGTAGCTTAACCATATAAATATTATTTTGTGATAACATTTGTAACATTAATCAAAGCTTCATCACAAGTCCAGAGCTACCTTATAATACAAACTATTTCGATAAAGTGATAAACTGAAGCTTAGTTAATAATGCATATAATATTGTATGTAATAATTTTATAACATTATCATAAAATTATAAACAGTAGACTCCCAATTATCTGCAGGTGGTGTGGACAGTGCTTTATAAGCTAAAACAGCTGTAATGTAAATAGCATAATACAGTAATGTTTGTAAAATAGCTTTTTTCTTTTCATTTATTAGGCTAGATTTGGCAATTTTATTAACAAATAATGCATAGAAAGTTGTTGGAAAGGAATAACAATTTTCTTCAATAAATACAAAATTAAAGTTTCTTTACATATTTAAATACAAATATTGATGCATATGCTTATGAATTAAGAATTTTATTCCTATTTCATATACAGGTATCCCTTGTATAGCATGGTAGTTATGTTTCAAAAAAGTGTTGTGTTGGGCAAATCTGTGCTATACAAAACAAAGGAATAATGCAAAACATAGAGTTAGGTTCCAAAACGTAACAAAAATATACTATTCTTTTTCATTACTAAGAGAATTATGTTTATGAAAAGCAATCAATAATTAACTAACAATCACAATTAAAAGTACTGTAAGATGCATTAATATTAATTTTAGTTAAACTAGGGTATTTTCTTTTCACAAAGTATCATCGTCATCTGAGTTTTTTTCTTGATCTTGATCAGCGATATCAGCAGTATCTTCATAATTTTTTATGGTTGACAAAAAAATAAAAATAGGTTAATCAAAAATTTGTTTTAGATGATTGCATTTGTTCCATTGAGTACAGAGCAATGTTTTTTTTCCCAGAGTTTGTGTTCAAATACTGAATTGTTCAAGTTGGGAACTGTTCAGATATCGAGATTTCATTCATCATTTTTACAAATGAAGTAATCATTCGTAGGTAAGTAATACCTACAGTTAAAAAAAAGTTTAATAGCAATTACCTAAAACTGCTTATTTAAACTTTACTAAATACGAAGATTAATTAATCTATAAAAAGAAAACACAGTAAGTCTTAAGGGCTAAAGTCTGAAAACAGCGACCATGACACCAGGTTGATAGGAGAGCTAGGATAAGGAAGAAAATTTGAGACAACGTACATGTTTACTTGAATAAAAAGATATCGAATAACTTAAAAATTGTGAAATTTTGTATGGAGGATTTCCAAAATTATGCTAGAGTGAAACTGGAAACAGTGTTGTATGGGGAATTTCCTCAATTTTCAGACTGTGTCAGAGCATAATCATGTTGTACAAGGGATTCCTATATTTGTAGATAACAAATCTATGAATATATATGAATTAGCCATTAATATTATTTTTTGTTTATATATACAGTTTTAATTTTTTATGTTTAAAAGAACAGATTTTTCTGATTTTCTTACTACAAAAATAGCTTTATAATTAAAGAAAATATCTATTTATGATAATTTTTCTGTGATCTCTCAAACTTTAACATATCAGCAAAATATTGTTTATATGGTTATAAAATATAAAATTTCATATTTGTTATTCATTTAATGATTGTCATAAAGATAATTATAAAGTCTTAACAGTACTGTATCAACTATAATATCAATTATTTTCATATGCTATAAGTAGTATTGCATAATCCAAGCTGCATGTAGCACTGTGTTTTCTTCTTAGTGGGAATGAAGCAACCTGCACTTACATGCATGAATAATTTATTGTTACGTCTTATCCATCCACACATTGCAATGTTTAAAATTTTAAAGCACACATCCCCATTAACTCCTTGATAATATTTTAGAAATAATTAATATTAAAATTCTTTACAGTTATTTATAATAATTTAAAATTTATAGATTGTCATTTTTCATTATGCTTTTGAATAATGCCTTAACTTTTTATATTTTATTTATTTTCAAGTTGTTACATATTGTTTCAAAGTCTTGATAGTTTATTTAAATTTCCATGTATTTTTTTTATTATGAAAGAGAAATATTTTTAGCATCATCTCTAATCAAAACAACTTTTATATGGCTGATTTGTAACTGTTATTTTAAAAATTTATGTGGATTTTGGACTAGAAAATTAGTATTTTTTTCCTTCCTGTATTGTTAAAATTTGAAACACATTCATTCATCCATTAAAAGTATTTGTTATTACAAGTTTATTTGATCTTTATTCTTTCAAAATACCAAAAAAAAAGTTTTTATTGATCTGTTATATCTGCATGTTTGGAATATGTCTTCCATAGCTTTTCATGAAGTGACTTGGTTAAAACAGTATTAAATTTGGCCCAATTTATTACATATATCAATGGGTACATTCTAGTATACATTGAACAGTGCATCTGCAATATAGTAAGGTGTGTTCTGATATTCACTAACAAGTTTGTCAGTACAGCAACCAGTACACATTGTACTTGTCAGTGTGTGCCAGTTCGAACCAATGAAGCAATATGGCCATCACAGTTATATTATTAACATCATTTTTACTACTTGTCTGTATTAATCCAAACTTATTTTGACAAATTCCAATATAATGCTGTTGCTTCCACCATCTTATATGGTTGCCAGACATTTCAGTAAAAGCTTATTAAACCATTCATTGATGCATACTGGAATGTACCCAATATATTTCCTTGGTGCTTCAATATATGATTATCAAACTATTATTGCTGTACAGGGAATAATCAGGATCAATTTATCTCTCTTATTTAAGTTAATTGTTTCTGTTTTAATTATGCCACTTTAAGGAATATGTAAATGATAAAAGGAGTATTTAGAATTTATCATCATCAAAGTAATCACCATTCGAGTTATTGAAATTGTAAGTTTTCTTTATTTGGTAGTATTACAAAAACCAAGAGAGTGAGTTTAGTTTATAAAGTTTTTTGGTGGAAATTTCTTTGTTAAATTGAAATATATTAAATATTAAAAATTTATAAAAACTAAAACTTTTGTTACTCAATTAATGCAGTTATTTGGAAAATTCTTTAGCTATAATTTCATTAGGTTTTCCTCAAATATTCAGTGAAAAATTGAGTTTAGGACTATTTTATTTCTGCATCTTATTAACATTGTTTATTGTTTACATAATTGTAGTTAAAATATGGTTAACTATAACTAATTCATCAGGTTAGACTCACATACATGTAAATATCTATCTGAAACATTAAAATTTTTAAAATTAATTAAAACATAAAAGAAACAAGTATCCAAATTAGGATCATTTAACTTGATTTGGCTCTTTTCACATGGGGCAATTTCAGCAGGGCAAATAACATTATATGATGATTCTTACCATATTATGATTTTATATGATAGGATATGGTTTTATGAAGATGCAAAACACAAATAAACACCAAAATTCTTTTATTATTATTTTTTCCATCATTAGTATCAATATCAATTATTGTTAGATTCCAAATTTTTCAATGCTGAAAATGAGGCATTGTTGAATGATTTTTTACATAAGTAAAAAATTGTAGTGTTTATATTTATGTATGTATGTATGTAAAGTACAGTAGATTCAGAACTATTGCAAATTATTACGAATATTATTTTATTGTCATATAAACATAGAATTTATATGTAATTTGTATATACATGGTGTTTAAAAAAAGATGGGCAAAACTTTAAGGGGTGTAAATACACACCAAAATAAACATTTCTTGTCATATAATACTTGGTTGAATTTGAACAGTGAAGTCAAAAGAGGATCTTTCTGGCAAGTGATATAAAAGTGCATTTATCACACACACAGTTGTTTACAATTTCGATGTCTGAAGAGATGGATCGTTACTCCATTGCCAAGAAGGCCGATATGCATTTCATATATGGAGCTCCAATGGCAATGCCAAGGAAACACAAAAAAATGTACTGGGAGCATTTTCCCAACAGGTCAGTTTCCTGATTGGACTGACCCAATATTATAAATTCATGATAACACTAGCAACTATGCAAGATGGGATCTTTCCTCAGTGACAGGCGTGATGCAGGTCATTCAAGGGTGGTGAGAATGTCAAATACAGTAAACTTTTTCCACGTTCTGTGTCATGAGTCATTACTGTATTTGTTCCTCAACACTTCACATTCAACCATGCATTCTATGACAAGAAATGTTTTGTTTTGGTGAGTTATTCCACCCCTTAAAGTTTTGCCCATCTTTTTTGAAACACTCTAAACATTTTGATTACATATTTTTTAGTATTCATGTAATATACAACAAATACATGATCATTGTTTCCAAATATGAATACTCTGACATTAATACAAGAAGAAATTTGTAGTCCATAATTTGTTTTAGTGCAAAAAAATAACATGATTCACTAATTAACATTTTTTCACACTTTAAAGTTTTTCTAAAGAGTTCTTCAGTGAAGAATACAAATATATAATAAAAAATAATTATCTAATCAATGATAATTTGAAAACTAGATACAATTATTGTAAGGTTGATCCAGTGGCTGAAATCATTCTATTTGAAAGGAGCCTTACTTTAGTATACCCCAAATACTCATATTTTAAACTGATTTTCATTAAACTTTTTATCAAATATTTTCTTCTGTCATGGGTTTAGAACAAAGACAAAATTCTGAATTTAAATGCATGCTGGAAGGCTTTAATAGTTTTTCTTAGTGTTTGCATTTTGTAGATATTCTATGTTATTACTGCAGAATAGTTTTCAATTCTATTGACTGTATAAAAGCTTCAATATATCTTGTTTCTAGTATAGAATTGCACAGAGCATGATTCATCGCACTTATTATAAAGCATTTTGATAGTTTAGAAACTTGCATGTTCTATCTACAAAAATTTGGATTAAATTTTATATATTTTATTAAAATTAATTCAAGATTTTACATTATGGCATTTGTTCGGAATTATTTGCTAGTTCAAGTTTAAATATATTGATTTGTTTTTTGTTTTTTTTTTTTGGATTAAATTTAAATGAATTTATTTATTTTTTCTTTATTAAGATATATGTAATATGATGATTTTTAAACTAACATTTGAATAAGTAATTAACATGTATGTTGAATTCCTTTGCTTCTTTTCTTTTGCGTGTGACCTATTCAGAGAGTATGCATTGCGCACCCGAAAGGAGTAAAACCGTAATTCAGGTAGAGCATGGTAGGTATTTAAAATAATTTTTTTAAAAATATTCCTTTTCATTCTTCTATAATGCTCTAACTATTTTGCATCAAAATGTTTTAATAAATATAGTAAGAGTATACAGATTTGGGAGAAATATATTTGGCATAAAAAAATAGTAGTACTTTTGCAAAATTAACAGCGAAGCAAATAAAAAAAATTCTCCAGGAACAAATTTTTTTTCTTTTTTTTTTTTTTTTTNTAAAAATAATAGCTTTTGTTTAAAGTCCTTCTTCATGAATCAAGCAAGTGTAATCATTGTAATTAAAAGATATTATTACATTAGAATAAAATTATATTAGTTTAGCATATTTTTAGTAATTAAACAAATAAATTGTTAACAAAATGGAAATTTAATGTTCAACTATTACCGAAAAATGGTATATTTAAAATTTAGCTTAAATGTGCAAGTCTCTAGACATGGAACGTAATCCAAAACAAGTCACTTAAGATTTCAAAAAGTATTAAAAAAAAAAAAAGTGTTTCTGTTTAATTTTCAATAAACTTATTTAATCAAAAAATATCTTAAAAGTTGAGATGGAATTAATTTAAATTAATGTTAATTTTCTGTTGCTATAGATGCTTATTCTCGCATAAATTAAAAACAATAACATATATTTTTATTATTATGTATTTCTGGATAAATGTTGATGTTATTAATATTAATGAAAGATATTCAGTTTTATTTATTACATTACTTTCCACTCAACTAAGTAATATTTAATATCTTAACTATATAAATAATGATTTCAATATATGTTAGCTTAGTGGGAAGGACTTTGAACTATAAGTAGTTAAAATTTTTAAAGTATGAATACTCTTTTAAACAGTTAATTTTCAATATTTTAGAGATTGCATAATTTTTAGACAATATATTTTTGAAAATATCTTTGAAATTTATAAAAATAATCCATATTTGGTTTTTTCCATGTCAAATTTCAAAAATTTTAAGATTTTTACAATACTGTTAATGTGTGAAATTTTGATTATTTCTTTAATACAGAAAATTCATCAATAAAAAAAGTCTTCTTTACAATTTTAATGTTAATATGTTGTTGTAATCTTAATTTCGAAAGATTGTTTGCTCGTTGAACAAATTAACTAGCAGTTTAAATTTAATAAAAATGTTTATTCTGTAAAATAACAATGCAGCAATTTAAATAAGTATTTTTCATGTTGACTGAGTTATGTTTGTGCAGATGTGAAAATAGGGAAAACAGACAAAACAGATCTTTTGGGATCAGAATTCACACTTACGATGCAGTTTATGCAGAGGAGAGAAACCAAATTCTTGTGTATAATATGTGAGAAATGCACCAGTTTCCCTCCTTGAAAGTTCAATTTGTTGAACTTTCATATTTTTCTCTCCTCACTTGAGTTGGTACATTTGCAACAATTTGGCAGCCTTGCTTTCTGCAATGCTGCCAAATAAAAGCATGACTGCTGAGATTAATATTAGTTGCTTCTCTCTTAAAAGAAACATTTATGTTTTTTTCATGCAAATCCACAATTCAATTGTGTGTTGCCAGCATGTGGAAATGTAGCAGATGGATGTAGTGCTACCTGTGGACACACAAAATTCATTAGACTTTTCCTTCCTGCTTTTTCATGAAAGCAACAAGAGGGAAAACAAGGACTACTCCTACAGGTGCATTTTAGTTTGCTTTAGTTTTCTCTCTTGCATTACTCACATCTACATAAAAATGCAGCCTAATGCAACAAACATGATAGATTTCAATTATTGGGTTGTTCGGAAAGTAATTTCATTTTTTTTACCACTAGATGGATTAGTCATATTTTTCCTGCCATTTTCATTCTTATCATTATATATTTTTACAGCTAGCATTTTAAGGCTTATTTGTAAAAAATTTTGTTTGATTTCATGCAATTGTTTATTTTTTGCGTCCCATCAAATACAGATGATCAAAAGCATCATTTTCAGCATATTTTGCTTTTTTATTACCAAAAAATCAAAGTGCTGTTCAAGCAAGAAAATAATTGTGGTACATGTACGAAGAAGATGTGTTGACAGAACAACAGTGCCAAAACTGGTTTACAAAATTTCGTTCTGGCAATTTCAATATTGAAGATGCACCACATTCTGGATGGCCAGTTGAAGCCATAATGAAAACAAAATAAAGGTACTGATTGAAGCAAACTGCCAAATAACAACATTAAATTTTTCAAGATTAAATTTATCGAATTGAACTGTTTATGATTACCTGAAACGAATTGGTTTCGTTTCAAAGCGCGATATATGGGTTCCACATATTCTTAAAGAGAGATGCTCTTATTGGTGGGATTTTAAGGAATTTTTTTTTGAGCTTTTACCAGACAATTTAACAATTGATTCAAAAGTGTACTGTCATCGAGTAAACAAATTGAGTAATATCATCAAACAGAAAAAGGTGACCAGAATTGATCAACAAAACAGGTGTAGTGTTTTACCATGATAATGTCACATTTCACACTAGTTTGGTAACTTGTCAGAAACTGTTATAACTTAGATGGGACATGCTATCACACCAACCATATTCGCCAGATTGAGCAAACTCAGATTATTACTTGTTCCGGTCTATAAAAATTTTTTTTAACTGTAAGACATTTACTTGAAATGACAATGTTGAAAATCACTTGGATCAGTTTTTTGTAAGCAACGATCAAAACTTTTATGAATGTGAAATCATACTACTACCAGAAATGATGACAACAGGTATTTGACCAAAATGGTCGATATATAATTCAGTAAAATATTTATTTATTATAAAAATATAGTGTTTTTTTCCACGGAAAGAAAAACGAAATTACTTTCCGAACAACCCAATAGTTTTATAAGCACTTTTAGAACTTCCAAATAACTTCTAAATGATTTTTATGATTAAAAAAATAATGCATGTAAAAGTGATAAACTAGATTGAAAGTAAGATTTAAGTATTAAAGATTGCAATGGAAAATTTTTTGTCATAGTATTAATTATGATAGGTTTAGGGCATGATTTCTCACTTAGTATATTTATTTCAAAAAGCATGTAAGAATTATATAATTATCATGGAAATGGCAATAGTACATTACTGTTCATGTACATTGATAGAGTATAAATACCCAATTTGTGTATTTATATACAATAAAAGAGTATAAAGCAAGAATGGTGTTCTTGCTTCAAGCCAACCGAGAGTAGGAATAGCCTGGAAAAATTGAAATGTGTTAAACAAGGTAAATTTATACAGTTTTACATGCAAATATATATAAAATTGTGTCCAGGGAATTGAAAAACTTTCACCATATGATAAGATGGCATATTCAATAATCTGGCACCACATCAATCCTGATGGATGATTCCAGGCTAACAGAATGTCATCATAATTAAAAGATAAAGGACAGTATTGTTATCAGAAGAACTTTTAACTTTGATTACGAATCAATGAAATAAATTTACTAATCTGCCATATTATTCCATTTACCTAGCAATTTAGACAAGAGAGTAGATTTAATGTAGTAGTTGGAAGGTATTCTGATATGCAGCTATACTAGAAAAGTGATAAATATAATGGCAAATGGTTAATCTGCTTAATAATAATGAAAACATATTCTCATTCATAAAAATTCTTTTGTTTATATTGTATAGGAAGAAAAAGTTGAATTAATTTTATCTTTTTTTATTTCTGATTTGATTTTATTTTAAATATTATGTAATTCTTTCCTTCCTGTAGACATGGAAAGATCTCTTTTTATGTTAGTTCTTGTCAGGATTCAGTCTGGTCCAAAATAGAATGGTCAAATATTGATCCTGGTGGATGAAACCAGACATATCTGGCTCAAACTAATTATAAAAGATTTTGACGATGGAACCCAGATCTAAAGTCCAGATTATTTGGATCAGTAGGATCAATAATAGGAAATTTCTAAATTAAAAATTAATACATTATAATTATTAAAATTAATACAAGATAGCAGCATATCTGCCTACCCCTAGTCAAATTAATTAGTAACTAATCATTAATGTAGTCCAAAAATAGCTTAATAACTTGACTGATTGTTTGGCATTAATTGTGTTTATAAATAGGGTGAGGGTCTGCAATGGGAAATATAAAAAATTTCACACTCTACTTGTATTGTAAAATTACAAAAATTATTAATGCTTAGATGAAGGTAATCTGATTTGTGAAATTGTTGTTGAAGAATGTCTTGAACTATTTCTTTTTTTTTTTTTTTTTTCAATGACTTTGTTTTTAAAAAGCTTAATTATTATTATTTTTTAATAATTGATTTTGTTTTAACCTTTTTCTTTATCTTATAAAAGTTCTAAAATGAAAGAGAATCTTGTGTATACACAAAAAATATTTTAAAAATAAATTACAACTGTAAACAAAATTCAATTATAAGATGCAAATCAAAATTTTTATATATATACATTAGAACCCCAAGTATCCAAGGTAATGTGGGCCAATGCTACCTCAGATAAGTGAAAATGTGGATAAAATGCTTAGCCACAACTATTTTGGAGTTTAAATTATATGTATAAAAGTTTTATATAGTTTTACTTTTAAGCTTTGTTTTATATCTTAGTGAATTTAATCATTTTTAACATAAGAAGGAACTGCTTTAAAAAGTCCTTTAGAGTTTTTTTGTTTTATAGCAGTTCCTCCCTTCTTTGCTGCAATGTTCTGACATCATCTCTGCATTGGCCATTTGCTTCGTACAGTCAAGGTTAAAAAGTATCACAGTATTAGTGCTCAGTACATTCAAGGCAAAGGTTTTATGAATTATATAGTATAAGAAAAGTAGCATATCTGCTTATGAGTTTACCTCAGATAATTGCAATCTTACAGTATTTATATCTCTTTAAAGAAATCATTTTAGTTTATTATCACAAGAGATCCAGATTTGAATCTACCATGGATCCTTACAAATTTTCATAGTTTCACGGGGAATTAAAAATCCCGATTCCTTACTCATACTGTCTGATCACATTCTTAATGAGCAGAATTGAGACTGCCATTATATTCTTTTGTGAGCTGGGGTCTTTCGTTACAGTTTTGGTTTTACATAATTGTGGTGACATATCAAATTATTCATTTTAATGATAGAAGCACCAATCTTAGTTCATATTCAATTAGTACTGTGAAATATAAAAAAAATTCAGTTGCTTCATTAGAATGTAAAAATGAAAAATTATGTACTGGTATGTGATAACATACATAACCAACCTGATAATTACTTTGTTGTATTTTATAGCACATAAAACACACCTCCATTTTGATATAACTATGTTAAATACTTTTCCTTAAATGCTCTAATTCCTTTATTATATTCTGGAAGAAAAGATCAGCATGGAATAGCCATACTCCTATTAAAATTTCTAATAGAAATTTGAAGAAAGTTTTATAAATCGTCTTAAGTTACAGTATCATTGAATATTGAATTTCATTACAAATTAGCCTTTTTTTTTATTTTTTAGTGTGTTAAAACTCTTTAATAATTTTTGCAACTCAAAACAGAATTCATAAAGTAAACAGTTTGTTTTAGTTTATATAGGTTAATCATCACCAGTCATGCATCATTGCGACCTGTAGGGTGCTAGTTCACAGAGTGGTTAAATTGGAATATGCTTAAACCAACAGCAAATCATCTCATCCTATCTTTTAAATACCCCATAAATCAGTACAAGTTTAGTAATAAAGAAAACAAGAATTAAATGATAAGCAAGTGAAATTTTAATGATGCACAAATAAAATAAATGATACAAATACAGGTACAATCATACATCAAGCCTAACAGCAATGTTGAACACTGCCAAATGGCAGCAGCAGGTTGGTGTAGCAATCCAAGAAACTTGAAATTACGCTAGCCAAAATTAGTGCCAGGTTATTGATTGCTAGATAAGTGATGTCCTGTACTTTAAAACAAATTCATTTATTTGGAAATTATTTATTAATGGTTCATTTATCCATTTGAGAATTGCTAAAAGTAGATTGCTGAACATATTTAGATTTTATTTCAACTATTGGCTTTATACACCCCATTCCATGACCCAATGCTCAACATAAGTTATCCAGGACAATCCACCCTGCGCACAAAAAATTGCTGGGGTTTTTCAACTACTCGGGTTCAATTTTGACTCTCCAGAGCATGGGCCAATGCATTGACCACCTATAAAAACTTTTGGTTTTGATGATTTGCATCTTGAATTGAATTCAGAATCAAAATATCTAATACATGATAATGAAAGCTATTTAAGGTACAAAAAAGGTGTATTCAATCCCTTCCTGCCTTTTAAATTGCTTAAGAACTATATACAAGTTTATAAATATATTGATACAAAGTAACTGTTTTATATTGAAATGGTTAAACATGGTACCAAGTTTTATGAACTTGTATGATATTTATTTTCAAGCTTATGAAAGTTTAATATTGCAATTTTTCTTAAGACATACTAATAGTGATCAATGATTGAAAACATTAGAATTTAAAAAATTTGCATAAATTACAATTAATCAATTTGCAGTTGTCATAAGATGCTAAAGATGATTTATTCATTCTTCTTATAATAAATACAACAAAATATTTCTGAAACATTTTAATTTCATAACAATAAAATTAACAGCCAAACATTCTTAATGGATATTCTAAACTAATACCAAATGAAGAACATATTTAGCAATGATGTTAGTCATACGTTGTAATCATAAAGCTGCTTGGCAGTGGATCACACAAGAAACCAAATTAATGAGGATAGAAAAGAAGAAAGGCGAAGTGGTGATGTGTAGTCTTCCTGTGTTATCATTATCATTACTTTGTTCCCGGAAGCGCCTCCTGCTTCCCTATTTATGGCAGAGCGATTTTTCAGTCACACTGTATTATGAAAATAATACTGTTATTCAATATATTACAAAAGCTGTTTTCTAATATTCAATAAGTATTTTTACCAGTAGTTTTTGCAATCACACATGAACTAAAGTATCATTTTACATGAAATTAGATATATATATATAAGGTGTAAATAAACAGTTTTTGTTACAAGAAAAATGTCAGCTGTTTTAATATCTCATTATTTATATACACTGAAATTCATCAGTACAGTCCTATGTCAAAGCCAGAGCTGGATTTACAAAAGCTAAACAAACTAAGTATAGAGATTTGAGTGTTTCACTGTTTTAATTTACAATATATATTAATATTTTTAACTTGTGACAATACATGGCATTTCTCACTACTGTAGTAAGAAATATCACTATTGATAGTGTATTGTTATTTGCTTGAGGGATAAAGGCCTCTCATATGTTAGACTTTTTGTAGCCATAAACTATAAATCCTGCACTGGATGAAACAAAACATCTATATATATATAGTGCTTCTGTACTTAAAATATTAGCATTAATTTCTTGCTATAATTTAAAAATTAATATAAAATTATGAAATAAATATTTCTCAATAGTTAATTTTAAAATAAGAAATGTTGAATGTATATAAACAATTTTTCTTTTCTATTACAATCATTAATTTTATTCTAAAATTTCCTTTCGTATTTTTATAAATATCAGCTGTAAAGAACAATAATGGCAATATTGTCGATCGTGAGTATTCTATCTTAAGCTTTCTGTATTCTAAACTTAATTTATTATAATATTCAATAAACATAAGTAAGAAATTACAAAAATAGATTTCTGATATTCTTCTTAAGATTTAGAGTAACAAGTAAAACTTATAAATTGATGTTACTGAGTATTTGTTTTTCATTTAATTGAACATATTCCAATTTTCAATGAATAAAATAAACTAAATTAATAAAGAAAGAAAAGCAGAAAGGGTTTTTCCCATTTGTCCTTTTTCCACTGTTGAAGACAATCGGTGACATAATGAAAAAATGCTTACCCATTATGAACTTTATTATCAAATGCTTTAAATTGTAAATTATTTATTTCTTCCATTATATGAATTAAGAGATACTTAATTTATTTTAACAGTAAATTTTAAGTTTTGACACAATCTATTTATTCANTCTTACTACAAAAATAGCTTTATAATTAAAGAAAATATCTATTTATGATAATTTTTCTGTGATCTCTCAAACTTTAACATATCAGCAAAATATTGTTTATATGGTTATAAAATATAAAATTTCATATTTGTTATTCATTTAATGATTGTCATAAAGATAATTATAAAGTCTTAACAGTACTGTATCAACTATAATATCAATTATTTTCATATGCTATAAGTAGTATTGCATAATCCAAGCTGCATGTAGCACTGTGTTTTCTTCTTAGTGGGAATGAAGCAACCTGCACTTACATGCATGAATAATTTATTGTTACGTCTTATCCATCCACACATTGCAATGTTTAAAATTTTAAAGCACACATCCCCATTAACTCCTTGATAATATTTTAGAAATAATTAATATTAAAATTCTTTACAGTTATTTATAATAATTTAAAATTTATAGATTGTCATTTTTCATTATGCTTTTGAATAATGCCTTAACTTTTTATATTTTATTTATTTTCAAGTTGTTACATATTGTTTCAAAGTCTTGATAGTTTATTTAAATTTCCATGTATTTTTTTTATTATGAAAGAGAAATATTTTTAGCATCATCTCTAATCAAAACAACTTTTATATGGCTGATTTGTAACTGTTATTTTAAAAATTTATGTGGATTTTGGACTAGAAAATTAGTATTTTTTTCCTTCCTGTATTGTTAAAATTTGAAACACATTCATTCATCCATTAAAAGTATTTGTTATTACAAGTTTATTTGATCTTTATTCTTTCAAAATACCAAAAAAAAAGTTTTTATTGATCTGTTATATCTGCATGTTTGGAATATGTCTTCCATAGCTTTTCATGAAGTGACTTGGTTAAAACAGTATTAAATTTGGCCCAATTTATTACATATATCAATGGGTACATTCTAGTATACATTGAACAGTGCATCTGCAATATAGTAAGGTGTGTTCTGATATTCACTAACAAGTTTGTCAGTACAGCAACCAGTACACATTGTACTTGTCAGTGTGTGCCAGTTCGAACCAATGAAGCAATATGGCCATCACAGTTATATTATTAACATCATTTTTACTACTTGTCTGTATTAATCCAAACTTATTTTGACAAATTCCAATATAATGCTGTTGCTTCCACCATCTTATATGGTTGCCAGACATTTCAGTAAAAGCTTATTAAACCATTCATTGATGCATACTGGAATGTACCCAATATATTTCCTTGGTGCTTCAATATATGATTATCAAACTATTATTGCTGTACAGGGAATAATCAGGATCAATTTATCTCTCTTATTTAAGTTAATTGTTTCTGTTTTAATTATGCCACTTTAAGGAATATGTAAATGATAAAAGGAGTATTTAGAATTTATCATCATCAAAGTAATCACCATTCGAGTTATTGAAATTGTAAGTTTTCTTTATTTGGTAGTATTACAAAAACCAAGAGAGTGAGTTTAGTTTATAAAGTTTTTTGGTGGAAATTTCTTTGTTAAATTGAAATATATTAAATATTAAAAATTTATAAAAACTAAAACTTTTGTTACTCAATTAATGCAGTTATTTGGAAAATTCTTTAGCTATAATTTCATTAGGTTTTCCTCAAATATTCAGTGAAAAATTGAGTTTAGGACTATTTTATTTCTGCATCTTATTAACATTGTTTATTGTTTACATAATTGTAGTTAAAATATGGTTAACTATAACTAATTCATCAGGTTAGACTCACATACATGTAAATATCTATCTGAAACATTAAAATTTTTAAAATTAATTAAAACATAAAAGAAACAAGTATCCAAATTAGGATCATTTAACTTGATTTGGCTCTTTTCACATGGGGCAATTTCAGCAGGGCAAATAACATTATATGATGATTCTTACCATATTATGATTTTATATGATAGGATATGGTTTTATGAAGATGCAAAACACAAATAAACACCAAAATTCTTTTATTATTATTTTTTCCATCATTAGTATCAATATCAATTATTGTTAGATTCCAAATTTTTCAATGCTGAAAATGAGGCATTGTTGAATGATTTTTTACATAAGTAAAAAATTGTAGTGTTTATATTTATGTATGTATGTATGTAAAGTACAGTAGATTCAGAACTATTGCAAATTATTACGAATATTATTTTATTGTCATATAAACATAGAATTTATATGTAATTTGTATATACATGGTGTTTAAAAAAAGATGGGCAAAACTTTAAGGGGTGTAAATACACACCAAAATAAACATTTCTTGTCATATAATACTTGGTTGAATTTGAACAGTGAAGTCAAAAGAGGATCTTTCTGGCAAGTGATATAAAAGTGCATTTATCACACACACAGTTGTTTACAATTTCGATGTCTGAAGAGATGGATCGTTACTCCATTGCCAAGAAGGCCGATATGCATTTCATATATGGAGCTCCAATGGCAATGCCAAGGAAACACAAAAAAATGTACTGGGAGCATTTTCCCAACAGGTCAGTTTCCTGATTGGACTGACCCAATATTATAAATTCATGATAACACTAGCAACTATGCAAGATGGGATCTTTCCTCAGTGACAGGCGTGATGCAGGTCATTCAAGGGTGGTGAGAATGTCAAATACAGTAAACTTTTTCCACGTTCTGTGTCATGAGTCATTACTGTATTTGTTCCTCAACACTTCACATTCAACCATGCATTCTATGACAAGAAATGTTTTGTTTTGGTGAGTTATTCCACCCCTTAAAGTTTTGCCCATCTTTTTTGAAACACTCTAAACATTTTGATTACATATTTTTTAGTATTCATGTAATATACAACAAATACATGATCATTGTTTCCAAATATGAATACTCTGACATTAATACAAGAAGAAATTTGTAGTCCATAATTTGTTTTAGTGCAAAAAAATAACATGATTCACTAATTAACATTTTTTCACACTTTAAAGTTTTTCTAAAGAGTTCTTCAGTGAAGAATACAAATATATAATAAAAAATAATTATCTAATCAATGATAATTTGAAAACTAGATACAATTATTGTAAGGTTGATCCAGTGGCTGAAATCATTCTATTTGAAAGGAGCCTTACTTTAGTATACCCCAAATACTCATATTTTAAACTGATTTTCATTAAACTTTTTATCAAATATTTTCTTCTGTCATGGGTTTAGAACAAAGACAAAATTCTGAATTTAAATGCATGCTGGAAGGCTTTAATAGTTTTTCTTAGTGTTTGCATTTTGTAGATATTCTATGTTATTACTGCAGAATAGTTTTCAATTCTATTGACTGTATAAAAGCTTCAATATATCTTGTTTCTAGTATAGAATTGCACAGAGCATGATTCATCGCACTTATTATAAAGCATTTTGATAGTTTAGAAACTTGCATGTTCTATCTACAAAAATTTGGATTAAATTTTATATATTTTATTAAAATTAATTCAAGATTTTACATTATGGCATTTGTTCGGAATTATTTGCTAGTTCAAGTTTAAATATATTGATTTGTTTTTTGTTTTTTTTTTTTTTGGATTAAATTTAAATGAATTTATTTATTTTTTCTTTATTAAGATATATGTAATATGATGATTTTTAAACTAACATTTGAATAAGTAATTAACATGTATGTTGAATTCCTTTGCTTCTTTTCTTTTGCGTGTGACCTATTCAGAGAGTATGCATTGCGCACCCGAAAGGAGTAAAACCGTAATTCAGGTAGAGCATGGTAGGTATTTAAAATAATTTTTTTAAAAATATTCCTTTTCATTCTTCTATAATGCTCTAACTATTTTGCATCAAAATGTTTTAATAAATATAGTAAGAGTATACAGATTTGGGAGAAATATATTTGGCATAAAAAAATAGTAGTACTTTTGCAAAATTAACAGCGAAGCAAATAAAAAAAATTCTCCAGGAACAAATTTTTTTTCTTTTTTTTTTTTTTTTGTATGATTTCGTTAATAAATTATTTCGCTTAAGTTCTCCCTTCTTAAAATTTCTATTTACTTTATAGTATTTTGTCATTGTGTTATAGTGTATGAGTTTTGTTTCCGCAATTTTTTTCCTCTTCTAAAGTCAAAACAACAACAACTGATAATAAAATTGCACAGAAATCTACTCAAGAATCCTTGGGACAAGTCTCTCGACAGTCTTTGGGAAGTGTTACCACCTCAGGTGAGAGTAGCTAAAGAATAAGAAGTAATCTGTAATAATTAAAAAAAAAAATTTATATGGAATAATCTGTTTATTGAGAAAGCAAAGCAAAACTGCAAATTATAAATTAAAAGGAATAATGAAAGTAAAAATAATAGCTTTTGTTTAAAGTCCTTCTTCATGAATCAAGCAAGTGTAATCATTGTAATTAAAAGATATTATTACATTAGAATAAAATTATATTAGTTTAGCATATTTTTAGTAATTAAACAAATAAATTGTTAACAAAATGGAAATTTAATGTTCAACTATTACCGAAAAATGGTATATTTAAAATTTAGCTTAAATGTGCAAGTCTCTAGACATGGAACGTAATCCAAAACAAGTCACTTAAGATTTCAAAAAGTATTAAAAAAAAAAAAAGTGTTTCTGTTTAATTTTCAATAAACTTATTTAATCAAAAAATATCTTAAAAGTTGAGATGGAATTAATTTAAATTAATGTTAATTTTCTGTTGCTATAGATGCTTATTCTCGCATAAATTAAAAACAATAACATATATTTTTATTATTATGTATTTCTGGATAAATGTTGATGTTATTAATATTAATGAAAGATATTCAGTTTTATTTATTACATTACTTTCCACTCAACTAAGTAATATTTAATATCTTAACTATATAAATAATGATTTCAATATATGTTAGCTTAGTGGGAAGGACTTTGAACTATAAGTAGTTAAAATTTTTAAAGTATGAATACTCTTTTAAACAGTTAATTTTCAATATTTTAGAGATTGCATAATTTTTAGACAATATATTTTTGAAAATATCTTTGAAATTTATAAAAATAATCCATATTTGGTTTTTTCCATGTCAAATTTCAAAAATTTTAAGATTTTTACAATACTGTTAATGTGTGAAATTTTGATTATTTCTTTAATACAGAAAATTCATCAATAAAAAAAGTCTTCTTTACAATTTTAATGTTAATATGTTGTTGTAATCTTAATTTCGAAAGATTGTTTGCTCGTTGAACAAATTAACTAGCAGTTTAAATTTAATAAAAATGTTTATTCTGTAAAATAACAATGCAGCAATTTAAATAAGTATTTTTCATGTTGACTGAGTTATGTTTGTGCAGATGTGAAAATAGGGAAAACAGACAAAACAGATCTTTTGGGATCAGAATTCACACTTACGATGCAGTTTATGCAGAGGAGAGAAACCAAATTCTTGTGTATAATATGTGAGAAATGCACCAGTTTCCCTCCTTGAAAGTTCAATTTGTTGAACTTTCATATTTTTCTCTCCTCACTTGAGTTGGTACATTTGCAACAATTTGGCAGCCTTGCTTTCTGCAATGCTGCCAAATAAAAGCATGACTGCTGAGATTAATATTAGTTGCTTCTCTCTTAAAAGAAACATTTATGTTTTTTTCATGCAAATCCACAATTCAATTGTGTGTTGCCAGCATGTGGAAATGTAGCAGATGGATGTAGTGCTACCTGTGGACACACAAAATTCATTAGACTTTTCCTTCCTGCTTTTTCATGAAAGCAACAAGAGGGAAAACAAGGACTACTCCTACAGGTGCATTTTAGTTTGCTTTAGTTTTCTCTCTTGCATTACTCACATCTACATAAAAATGCAGCCTAATGCAACAAACATGATAGATTTCAATTATTGGGTTGTTCGGAAAGTAATTTCATTTTTTTTACCACTAGATGGATTAGTCATATTTTTCCTGCCATTTTCATTCTTATCATTATATATTTTTACAGCTAGCATTTTAAGGCTTATTTGTAAAAAATTTTGTTTGATTTCATGCAATTGTTTATTTTTTGCGTCCCATCAAATACAGATGATCAAAAGCATCATTTTCAGCATATTTTGCTTTTTTATTACCAAAAAATCAAAGTGCTGTTCAAGCAAGAAAATAATTGTGGTACATGTACGAAGAAGATGTGTTGACAGAACAACAGTGCCAAAACTGGTTTACAAAATTTCGTTCTGGCAATTTCAATATTGAAGATGCACCACATTCTGGATGGCCAGTTGAAGCCATAATGAAAACAAAATAAAGGTACTGATTGAAGCAAACTGCCAAATAACAACATTAAATTTTTCAAGATTAAATTTATCGAATTGAACTGTTTATGATTACCTGAAACGAATTGGTTTCGTTTCAAAGCGCGATATATGGGTTCCACATATTCTTAAAGAGAGATGCTCTTATTGGTGGGATTTTAAGGAATTTTTTTTTGAGCTTTTACCAGACAATTTAACAATTGATTCAAAAGTGTACTGTCATCGAGTAAACAAATTGAGTAATATCATCAAACAGAAAAAGGTGACCAGAATTGATCAACAAAACAGGTGTAGTGTTTTACCATGATAATGTCACATTTCACACTAGTTTGGTAACTTGTCAGAAACTGTTATAACTTAGATGGGACATGCTATCACACCAACCATATTCGCCAGATTGAGCAAACTCAGATTATTACTTGTTCCGGTCTATAAAAATTTTTTTTAACTGTAAGACATTTACTTGAAATGACAATGTTGAAAATCACTTGGATCAGTTTTTTGTAAGCAACGATCAAAACTTTTATGAATGTGAAATCATACTACTACCAGAAATGATGACAACAGGTATTTGACCAAAATGGTCGATATATAATTCAGTAAAATATTTATTTATTATAAAAATATAGTGTTTTTTTCCACGGAAAGAAAAACGAAATTACTTTCCGAACAACCCAATAGTTTTATAAGCACTTTTAGAACTTCCAAATAACTTCTAAATGATTTTTATGATTAAAAAAATAATGCATGTAAAAGTGATAAACTAGATTGAAAGTAAGATTTAAGTATTAAAGATTGCAATGGAAAATTTTTTGTCATAGTATTAATTATGATAGGTTTAGGGCATGATTTCTCACTTAGTATATTTATTTCAAAAAGCATGTAAGAATTATATAATTATCATGGAAATGGCAATAGTACATTACTGTTCATGTACATTGATAGAGTATAAATACCCAATTTGTGTATTTATATACAATAAAAGAGTATAAAGCAAGAATGGTGTTCTTGCTTCAAGCCAACCGAGAGTAGGAATAGCCTGGAAAAATTGAAATGTGTTAAACAAGGTAAATTTATACAGTTTTACATGCAAATATATATAAAATTGTGTCCAGGGAATTGAAAAACTTTCACCATATGATAAGATGGCATATTCAATAATCTGGCACCACATCAATCCTGATGGATGATTCCAGGCTAACAGAATGTCATCATAATTAAAAGATAAAGGACAGTATTGTTATCAGAAGAACTTTTAACTTTGATTACGAATCAATGAAATAAATTTACTAATCTGCCATATTATTCCATTTACCTAGCAATTTAGACAAGAGAGTAGATTTAATGTAGTAGTTGGAAGGTATTCTGATATGCAGCTATACTAGAAAAGTGATAAATATAATGGCAAATGGTTAATCTGCTTAATAATAATGAAAACATATTCTCATTCATAAAAATTCTTTTGTTTATATTGTATAGGAAGAAAAAGTTGAATTAATTTTATCTTTTTTTATTTCTGATTTGATTTTATTTTAAATATTATGTAATTCTTTCCTTCCTGTAGACATGGAAAGATCTCTTTTTATGTTAGTTCTTGTCAGGATTCAGTCTGGTCCAAAATAGAATGGTCAAATATTGATCCTGGTGGATGAAACCAGACATATCTGGCTCAAACTAATTATAAAAGATTTTGACGATGGAACCCAGATCTAAAGTCCAGATTATTTGGATCAGTAGGATCAATAATAGGAAATTTCTAAATTAAAAATTAATACATTATAATTATTAAAATTAATACAAGATAGCAGCATATCTGCCTACCCCTAGTCAAATTAATTAGTAACTAATCATTAATGTAGTCCAAAAATAGCTTAATAACTTGACTGATTGTTTGGCATTAATTGTGTTTATAAATAGGGTGAGGGTCTGCAATGGGAAATATAAAAAATTTCACACTCTACTTGTATTGTAAAATTACAAAAATTATTAATGCTTAGATGAAGGTAATCTGATTTGTGAAATTGTTGTTGAAGAATGTCTTGAACTATTTCTTTTTTTTTTTTTTTTTTCAATGACTTTGTTTTTAAAAAGCTTAATTATTATTATTTTTTAATAATTGATTTTGTTTTAACCTTTTTCTTTATCTTATAAAAGTTCTAAAATGAAAGAGAATCTTGTGTATACACAAAAAATATTTTAAAAATAAATTACAACTGTAAACAAAATTCAATTATAAGATGCAAATCAAAATTTTTATATATATACATTAGAACCCCAAGTATCCAAGGTAATGTGGGCCAATGCTACCTCAGATAAGTGAAAATGTGGATAAAATGCTTAGCCACAACTATTTTGGAGTTTAAATTATATGTATAAAAGTTTTATATAGTTTTACTTTTAAGCTTTGTTTTATATCTTAGTGAATTTAATCATTTTTAACATAAGAAGGAACTGCTTTAAAAAGTCCTTTAGAGTTTTTTTGTTTTATAGCAGTTCCTCCCTTCTTTGCTGCAATGTTCTGACATCATCTCTGCATTGGCCATTTGCTTCGTACAGTCAAGGTTAAAAAGTATCACAGTATTAGTGCTCAGTACATTCAAGGCAAAGGTTTTATGAATTATATAGTATAAGAAAAGTAGCATATCTGCTTATGAGTTTACCTCAGATAATTGCAATCTTACAGTATTTATATCTCTTTAAAGAAATCATTTTAGTTTATTATCACAAGAGATCCAGATTTGAATCTACCATGGATCCTTACAAATTTTCATAGTTTCACGGGGAATTAAAAATCCCGATTCCTTACTCATACTGTCTGATCACATTCTTAATGAGCAGAATTGAGACTGCCATTATATTCTTTTGTGAGCTGGGGTCTTTCGTTACAGTTTTGGTTTTACATAATTGTGGTGACATATCAAATTATTCATTTTAATGATAGAAGCACCAATCTTAGTTCATATTCAATTAGTACTGTGAAATATAAAAAAAATTCAGTTGCTTCATTAGAATGTAAAAATGAAAAATTATGTACTGGTATGTGATAACATACATAACCAACCTGATAATTACTTTGTTGTATTTTATAGCACATAAAACACACCTCCATTTTGATATAACTATGTTAAATACTTTTCCTTAAATGCTCTAATTCCTTTATTATATTCTGGAAGAAAAGATCAGCATGGAATAGCCATACTCCTATTAAAATTTCTAATAGAAATTTGAAGAAAGTTTTATAAATCGTCTTAAGTTACAGTATCATTGAATATTGAATTTCATTACAAATTAGCCTTTTTTTTTATTTTTTAGTGTGTTAAAACTCTTTAATAATTTTTGCAACTCAAAACAGAATTCATAAAGTAAACAGTTTGTTTTAGTTTATATAGGTTAATCATCACCAGTCATGCATCATTGCGACCTGTAGGGTGCTAGTTCACAGAGTGGTTAAATTGGAATATGCTTAAACCAACAGCAAATCATCTCATCCTATCTTTTAAATACCCCATAAATCAGTACAAGTTTAGTAATAAAGAAAACAAGAATTAAATGATAAGCAAGTGAAATTTTAATGATGCACAAATAAAATAAATGATACAAATACAGGTACAATCATACATCAAGCCTAACAGCAATGTTGAACACTGCCAAATGGCAGCAGCAGGTTGGTGTAGCAATCCAAGAAACTTGAAATTACGCTAGCCAAAATTAGTGCCAGGTTATTGATTGCTAGATAAGTGATGTCCTGTACTTTAAAACAAATTCATTTATTTGGAAATTATTTATTAATGGTTCATTTATCCATTTGAGAATTGCTAAAAGTAGATTGCTGAACATATTTAGATTTTATTTCAACTATTGGCTTTATACACCCCATTCCATGACCCAATGCTCAACATAAGTTATCCAGGACAATCCACCCTGCGCACAAAAAATTGCTGGGGTTTTTCAACTACTCGGGTTCAATTTTGACTCTCCAGAGCATGGGCCAATGCATTGACCACCTATAAAAACTTTTGGTTTTGATGATTTGCATCTTGAATTGAATTCAGAATCAAAATATCTAATACATGATAATGAAAGCTATTTAAGGTACAAAAAAGGTGTATTCAATCCCTTCCTGCCTTTTAAATTGCTTAAGAACTATATACAAGTTTATAAATATATTGATACAAAGTAACTGTTTTATATTGAAATGGTTAAACATGGTACCAAGTTTTATGAACTTGTATGATATTTATTTTCAAGCTTATGAAAGTTTAATATTGCAATTTTTCTTAAGACATACTAATAGTGATCAATGATTGAAAACATTAGAATTTAAAAAATTTGCATAAATTACAATTAATCAATTTGCAGTTGTCATAAGATGCTAAAGATGATTTATTCATTCTTCTTATAATAAATACAACAAAATATTTCTGAAACATTTTAATTTCATAACAATAAAATTAACAGCCAAACATTCTTAATGGATATTCTAAACTAATACCAAATGAAGAACATATTTAGCAATGATGTTAGTCATACGTTGTAATCATAAAGCTGCTTGGCAGTGGATCACACAAGAAACCAAATTAATGAGGATAGAAAAGAAGAAAGGCGAAGTGGTGATGTGTAGTCTTCCTGTGTTATCATTATCATTACTTTGTTCCCGGAAGCGCCTCCTGCTTCCCTATTTATGGCAGAGCGATTTTTCAGTCACACTGTATTATGAAAATAATACTGTTATTCAATATATTACAAAAGCTGTTTTCTAATATTCAATAAGTATTTTTACCAGTAGTTTTTGCAATCACACATGAACTAAAGTATCATTTTACATGAAATTAGATATATATATATAAGGTGTAAATAAACAGTTTTTGTTACAAGAAAAATGTCAGCTGTTTTAATATCTCATTATTTATATACACTGAAATTCATCAGTACAGTCCTATGTCAAAGCCAGAGCTGGATTTACAAAAGCTAAACAAACTAAGTATAGAGATTTGAGTGTTTCACTGTTTTAATTTACAATATATATTAATATTTTTAACTTGTGACAATACATGGCATTTCTCACTACTGTAGTAAGAAATATCACTATTGATAGTGTATTGTTATTTGCTTGAGGGATAAAGGCCTCTCATATGTTAGACTTTTTGTAGCCATAAACTATAAATCCTGCACTGGATGAAACAAAACATCTATATATATATAGTGCTTCTGTACTTAAAATATTAGCATTAATTTCTTGCTATAATTTAAAAATTAATATAAAATTATGAAATAAATATTTCTCAATAGTTAATTTTAAAATAAGAAATGTTGAATGTATATAAACAATTTTTCTTTTCTATTACAATCATTAATTTTATTCTAAAATTTCCTTTCGTATTTTTATAAATATCAGCTGTAAAGAACAATAATGGCAATATTGTCGATCGTGAGTATTCTATCTTAAGCTTTCTGTATTCTAAACTTAATTTATTATAATATTCAATAAACATAAGTAAGAAATTACAAAAATAGATTTCTGATATTCTTCTTAAGATTTAGAGTAACAAGTAAAACTTATAAATTGATGTTACTGAGTATTTGTTTTTCATTTAATTGAACATATTCCAATTTTCAATGAATAAAATAAACTAAATTAATAAAGAAAGAAAAGCAGAAAGGGTTTTTCCCATTTGTCCTTTTTCCACTGTTGAAGACAATCGGTGACATAATGAAAAAATGCTTACCCATTATGAACTTTATTATCAAATGCTTTAAATTGTAAATTATTTATTTCTTCCATTATATGAATTAAGAGATACTTAATTTATTTTAACAGTAAATTTTAAGTTTTGACACAATCTATTTATTCATTAATTCTTCTCCATTATTAAATACAGAAACACAGTGTTACATGCAGAATAAATGTTAATTAAAATGTACTATTAATTTATTTAAATAATGATTCATTAAAATATTTACAAATAGTATTATTGAATAAAAAAATTCTTAAACATGTAATCAGGCAATAGATAACAGTAAAAAGCATCTTTTTACTTAATTGTAATTAGATAATTAAAAAATATATTTCATAATAAAGAAACATGACCCTGAATTGCCTTTCATAAAATTAGAAAACAATAATATGTCTGAAAGTAGTCATGAAAAATTAATTTTTCTTAAACATTTGTAACATAGTAATATATTGGATGGTGTGAAATTTAAAATATAATAACTATTTTAGCAGGTTAAAACATCTAATTTTATTAATAATATATTAAGCAATTTCTCTGCCCACATTAAATTTACTTAATGTTCATACGAAAATATGAATTGATGAATGTGATAAATCTGGATCTTACACAACATCAGGATGATAGTTAACAAAGTATTTGTCTATGGGCACTAAAAGAATCTTTTTTTTTTTTCATTCATTATGGGCATGGAAAAAGATAATTTTAGTGTCCACAAGAAACAGGATCCAACATATACTGTACAAGTCAAATCATGGAGATTTCTGTAGTGTCCCTCAAAGCTGATACCTCAATCATCCAAATATTAGTAGGACAATACTATGGAGATTTAACTATGAAACATATGCCATATTACTCTTCAGAAGGTATTGGAATGGGTATATTTATTCATTGTCTGAAATATGTTACTATGTTTGTATTTAAAAATTTATGTATGTATATATACATATATACAAAATAAACCTTGAAGTAATATTAAAAAAATCTGAACATTTGCTGTTATCTATTCAATGATTACTTGTGAATAATGTATGTTCTAGTGTATATGAAAACAGGATTTATAATAAGTAGTATAAATATTATTAATAGTGAATTCAGGTTAAATATGGGTGGAAATAAGTAGTAGTAATTTTTAAATACAAAATGAAGAATAAAGGAAAACTATTTAATAAAAACATTTATTAGAAAATTTTATACCTAATCTTTTATCATCCCAAAGTCAAGATGATACTTTTTTTTAACCATGTACAGTACTTAAAGGCCTCATCTAACAAATTGGAACTACACACATTAATTTAAAAATAGTTCACAAATTGATATTAGACTTATTTTGAAAAAGATTTATTCCTCAAGAGAATTAAAGATAAATAAAATAGCTTTCTTCGTGAATCTGATTTTTTCGTTGAACAGAAAATTAATTTCTGGAAAATTAAGTTGTCATCATCAGTTAGATCATGCGGGATGGTAATAATTCATAACATAACTGGATTATGGAGTTCTAGGTTTTCCTTGATCAGTTATAGATATGTAAACATGAGAGATCTGCATTTGAAACTCATCCAGATTCTTATAATTTATCAAGGACAATTTGAGTTGCAAGATAAATTATATAGTTCCTGTATCTTTCATCCATCCCAGCAGACAATAAATGCATTAGATTCATGATGAAATAGCAAAAATTGAGAATAGCTATGTAGTCTATAGTGCATTAGTATCTTATATAAACAACTTGGTAAGTCTCTATTGTTGGTTATGATTTAAAAAGAAAAAATGATGATAAAGCTTCTAGAAAATGTTACAGAAACATTTAAGTGCTGTTGCCACAACTGAAGCATGTATAAATGATTGCATTACTTTTTTTTTCTATGGTCATTTAAGATAATATATGTGATGAAAACTTGCACTGTGTTCATGATAGTATGGAACTCTTAAAATTTGTATATTAAAAATTTTCAATAGTTTAATTATCAACAAGTTCATTCAATTTAACATTGATGGTTGAATTTTATGATATGTCCATAAAATAATTATAATGATGTAATAACAAATGTTGATAACTGCTTATAGAATCAGTACTTATAAAAAAAAAAATATTAATAAATTTAGAAAAAATATCTTAAGTTTTTAATGTATTTAATTATGTACTGTTCATATTATATAAAGACATTTTTAACATTCTATGGAAGAATTTCTCAAAGAGAGAAATATGTGAAATACAGTTAGACTTCCAAATAACAAATCTCATTAAATAAAGTATTCCTATTCTTTTAGTGTACATAATCATGTTGCCACCACTTCCCAGATTGCACTGTATAAAAATTAGAAAGGGCATCAACTTTTGAAAGCTCACTTTAAAAAAAATGTGTAACTGTTTTAAAAATTTGTTTTCCTTTATAAAATATATAATCTTAATGAATTGTTTTGCTAATTTATATGATTTTATTCTTCATTATGTATTTTCTTTAGAATATGATATTTTGTACAGAATAATAATACAGTCACAATGCACCTATATTGTATTGTTTTTAATGTAGATAAACAGTGACTTTTTGTTATTTTGTAAAAAATTTAATTAAAATTTTACTTAACCCTCTAGTGTACTGTACATACCATTAGAGTTTTTGAAAGTAATGCCGAATCAGATTGCCAGAGTTAGAAATCGTTCTGAATATTGCTAAATAATTAAATTCTAGAAAATATCACGAGAACTTGTTCTGCAGTTGTCATGCAGTCAGTCTCCCGGTCTTAATTTTAAAGCATCTGCATTAATTTAGCTCATTTTATGTACAGATAATATACTAGTTAAAGGATCTCCTCAAATATAGATCCAATTCAAACTGCTTTATCTCTTGTGCAGATGTCTGAAAATTCTTGAGTTTCCTGGAAAAGTTTTCTTGCTGATATAAGCAGTTTGAATTGGATCTAAGAATTAATATATATTGCTTGCATCATTAACAAAAATTTTTTAAATAAAACTTCTCCAGAAACTGGGATATACCATAATGTACAAAAATCCACTACCTTGATATTCACCCAGCTGATTTTTCAGAAAAAACAAACATTTTCTGTCTACTTCTAAGACCTGCTTCAGGTGAAAATTTTTTAAACATGGAACTTCTAATTTTTCAATGCTCTAACATGAACACAGAAGAGCTCACATGTAAATTCAAATAGAAAATCTTCTAGAAGCAACCAATAGGATGCGTCCAAGTGTGAAAGTTCTAAAACCATTTGTCATGATGAAGTGTCAAAGAGGGCCTGCCATGCTTGTGAAATGTATCTCTCCTTAAAGTTTATACATTGTCTCTGCTTTAAAAATCTCAAGCACCTCTAGTACTTTGAGTTGGTCCGTGTTTGCCGTTGTTCTAATTAATGTAACACATTGTAAATCAGGTTTGGCTTCTTCCTCCCCCACATATATTGAGTAGGCATAATCTGTCTCCCTCTATCTATATCAGCTCTGTGTTCTGTTAAGTGCTTTCTGAGTGATCTTTGGGTTGAACCTATATAGATCTAGTCCCTCTGGAACCTTTTATTCCTTAGGGGTATCTTTTATACTCTCGATGCTCCGCTGTAGTCGATTGGATACTTATCTTTCTAAGCAGTTAAACAGGTAGGAATTACATCTGTAAGATAATCTTATACTAACATACAAAGCAGTTTCTTTATAAATATTGTGCATGTGACGATTGTAAGCCACAGCTTCACAGTAATAATTAAATTCTTGTAGTGCAGAATTATCCACTGGAGCATCATTGGGTGCTCTGTTTGTTGTGTTCTTTTAGTTTCTTGCTAGTGGGCTAATTTATAGATCAATCCTTTAGAGTAGCCTTGTATGGTAGCAATGTCTGCGATGCAACCCACCTCCTTTCTAGTGTCCTCAGTTGTACTGCAATGAGTAGGCTCTCTTCGTAAGGGCTGCAAAGGTCGCTACTCTGTAGTTTGACGGATCATTGAAGTTGGCCAGTATATATAACAGAATAAAGTCCAGTTTGTAATAGATCCTCGTATCAAAGCCCTTACCATTGAAAGAAAAGTCTATTATCTAAGAAATGTGCACTCTCTCATCAATTTGGTCTAATTGCAGAATTAGTCCTTATGGGTTATCGTTCATTTCTTCGATTTTAGGCTTGACTTTCCAAATAATGCAAATATCATCAGTGTATCTCCCATAAATAGCAATTTGCGATAGGAATGTAGGAAGAATCCTGTCTTCCAATTGTCACATAACTATTTCACATAGGTCCTCTGACAATGGGCTACTCATCAGGACCCTCTCTTCTGTAGGTAGATGGTGTAACTTGGAAGCAGGAAGTGTACAAAAGCAAGAGAGTTAATGCTTTTACACTTGGATGCATCCTATTTTAATTCAAATTGATGTGTGAGCTCTTCGGCATTTGAAATATTAGAAATTCCAAGTTTAGAAAAATTTTTCACCTGAAGCAAGTCTTAGAAGTAGACCGAAAACATTTGTTTTTTTTCTGAAAAATCAGCTTGGTGAATATCAAGGTAGTGTACATAAAAATTTTTAGAGTAATCTTAAAATTAGTGTTATAAGTATATAAATTCAATAATTATTTTAGAATAAAGTAAATATAAATTTAAGTATAAGAAGTTTCTATAATATAAAGTTGAATATATAATACATAAATTAAAAAAGAATTTTAATACTGAAAAGATTCTTTTGACTTTAGCACGCAAACAAGAAATCATAAAGATGACAGAATGTCTTTTAGAATCAATTAATAACGGAGATTATGCAACTTATACGTAAGACTTTCTTATCTTTCAAATGCTGCGATCTGTAAAAGAGATTGCACAAATTGAATCTTTATTTATTCCAACAAAATAGAAAATTATGCGATCCTCACATGACTGCTTTTGAACCTGAAGCATTAGGAAATTTAGTTGAAGGAATGGATTTTCACAGGTTTTATTTTGAAAATGGTAAGTTTTATTATTTAATAAAAGTTTCTGTTTCATTATTAATTAAATTCTTTTAAGTCAAGATTTAATTTCTTTTATTACAAAGTAAATGAATAAATGTTTTGCATTTCTAGAAATTAAAGCAGTTTGTTTGTGTCCAAGATCCAATAGTACCTAAATATCTGGCAAGGCCATTTGTCCTGTCTCAATTCATTTTAAGGGGCTTCTCTACTTAAGATATAAATAGATTGGGGTATTTTAGCTGAATCTTGCAAAGCATTATTGAGGATTTTGCACATACAATATAGTTCTGCATTTGGCAGTTGAAAAATTTTCAAGTTATAAATTTATTTTAAAAATTGTTATAATGAAGTTTTTTATGTTTATTAAAATTAAAAGTTATAATTTGGAGGAGTGATCGACAGTTTTATTAAAACTAATGCTAAAGATTAGTCACTTTTAATTGTGAGGGTCTTCAATATTTTTCTGAGAAGGGCCATATAAACTAAAAGTCTGAGGCCAGGTACAAAAGATATAGTCAAAGATTAAGATCATTATTTTAGAAATAATAAAATCTTAATGACTGACTTAGATATTTATTCATTTATTACGTAATATTAAAAAGTAGGAAATACAGTGGTGCCTTGTAGTTCAAATTTAATTTGTTTTGGCAAGTCATTCAAACTCGATTTTCCCTGCTAGAAGTAATGGAAGGTGAAGTACATGAAATCCTTGTTAATTTCAGCTCAGATAGTTCAAAATCCTGTTAGTTCATAATGGGAGACAGAGATTTACATGTTAAAGAATTTGGTTGGTTCGAATTTTGAGGTAACCGTATTTGAAGTGTCCAAACTGTGATATGTCTAACTTGTGCATTTAGATCTAAGTGCCTCCATGCTGTAAGAGAACAATAGACCAAAAACAACTCTAATCTGGTTAATATGGCTTTACTTTTACAGTAACACATGTTCTGATGTCACCTTACCGATGGACTGCCATTTTTTCCTCTTATCTCATAAAATACGGCTGGATTTCAGGTTATTGGGCTACGAGTAGCAGGTTGAGATATTTGTAGAGCTCTACACTTCTAGATTTGAGTGACTTACTACTTTTTGGGCCACTTTAAAAATAATTTGCTCTACATTTTGAGGAATCTGCTTTACTTTTTTATATAATCTGTCTGGGACCTATGAAATTGTCACCAGATATGTACAGTACTGTTTATCTTTACATTTATGTTATTATTATTAGTAATTAATAATAATTGCATTCTTTGTACATATCCGTATTCAGTATGCTTAATTACATCGGTTATGTGGCATTTTGTATGGTGTATGGATATACGTAAATCTCAGATAATTCGAAGTCGTGATTATTTCATCCCTTGAATTTCAAACTAATGAGGATTTCTTGTAATTGTTCCCAGACCCTAAATAATATTCATTTCAGTAAACATTGCTGTTTAAAAATGACATAAGTAAAAGTAAATACACATAATTTAATATCTAAATAATAAATTGCATTTACTGTTCCTTAATGAAGAGTGGAGATGTCCTGTTTCTAAAGGTCACTATGCAACTACTTGTCTTTCTTGGAGATGATATCATCAGCCAATTGCTTCTCATTTATCTACACGTGGAGGAATTTTTCCATTTCTCAGAGGTCAATATTATCACATCTTTAACCACATTTATTGCTTTTATTGTTTCCTTGTTGTTAAGAATGGTGCACACCATTGACATCTGCATCTTAAACGTGGTCACTAGATCTCCACACTCGTACTGCTTTCGTTCTTCACTATACATTCCTTTTTTACCTCAGTCCATTATTACTACAGTCTTCATCTTAGGCTTTGTTGCTTCCTCATTCTTCTTGGTTGCCACAGTTAATAGGGGTTATTTAAAACTGAACACAAGAGTATAATGCAAGAAATGCTTTCATGGTGAGATTAAGAAATGACTTGGTTAGTTCAAATTTTGGAATGTTCAAAGTAAGAGGTTCCACTGTATAAACATTTTACCATAGATCTCTATATAATCTGTAATAAATCTATGTAGTTATGTATAAATAGTGAGTTGTCTGAAAGCATTAGTTGATGATTTCCTATACAATCATCAACACTGTCTTTTCTTACAAATAATTCAATGAATTTTAATAATAGTATGATTATAATAAAGTAAAACCGTGATTTAATAGACCAGTTAGGGTGAGGAAGTTTCCAAAAGTCAAAATACCAAAAGTTCATTATACAATAAGTTTTTACGAATAAGTATAGAATCTAAATTGAAATAAAAAACAAACATTTTTTGGAAAATATTCATTTGTTTAATTAAAAATGCAAGGTTCATAAGAGCAATGACTCTTGGATATAAAAAGCATTTTAAAATTAACAGGGTGTTAATTTTTTCTTATGACATATGTACCAGAAATTTTGTCTGTTAAATTGAGATTTTGCTGTACTTTGTTTTTATAAAACTTAAAAAAAAAAAAAAAAATTCAGATATCTCACTATTTCTTAAGTGTAATTTAAATCGTAATTTGCCCATACAGTGGGATATTTACAAAATTAATAGCACACTATTAATGAATTTAGAATTAGTTTTTATTATTAATGAAACATAATTTTTCATCTTGCTTCACACGATTGTGGATCTTGCTATGGTGAGAATCTAAGGCTTTTTGTCTGTGAGTAATGTATACTGTGTGATGTAAATGTTTACGTGCAGGTTAAGTATTCTTATTACATTAGAATGGATTTAGAAAAGTGCAAAATAGATGTTTTGGGTACGACAGCTTAAAATAATTATTTTTTATCAGCATAAATTATACGAAGACAACTTTTTTTCTAATTTTTGTTTAATGTTGTTTTTTTTAGTTGAGAATTAAGAGGATTGTAATGAAGGAAATTCTTATTAAATTATAATTTTTAATAACATTCTACATAATGTTGATATTTGTTAATTTTAAATAAAGCAATGTAATAATTATTCAAAATTATTTATTAATGAACAATATTGTAATAAATAAAACTACATATTAGTTCTAGGAAAGCAGATAAAAACCCTACATACCCTGATGCTTAATCCTGCTGTTCATCTTTTGGGAGAAGATGCCGCTTGCATTGCTTATGTTCGTCTAACCCAATATATTGACAAGTAAGTTGTCATCTTCATATTGTTTTTGTCGCAAGTTCTTTAAAAAAAACAATTTAATTATTGTTTTTTAAAAACAGATCGGGTATGGCTCACACTCAAAGATCAGAAGAGACAAGATTATGGCATAAGAAAGATGGAAAATGGCAAAATATCCATTTCCATCGTTCAGGTTCACCTTCACTACCTATATCGGTTTTACAATCAAAATAAGGATCAAATAACTGTTTATTGTTACCCGATTCCCAGCGTCATCAATGAACAATTGGTCCTCGTTAATAATCTCTCCAGTTGTTATTCATTTAAACAAAGTGTGGTCCGCAGTGGTTATCGTTGATTCTTGTTAATTGATCCTATTATCCCACCAGTAATGATCACTCAGTTCCGATTTAAACGAGTACATATCAGATTATCAGGTGTGTTTGTAGTGTTTTTTGGACCATTTAAGGGATTTGTTTCTACTCTGGTATACATCGGCCACTGTAACATATTACGGCACCGGTCGTATGCTAGTAGGGATTTGTTCCTATCTGCCCGTACTCTAGTGGCTCTTCACAATCACTTCTATCAAATTTATTGCACCGATTTTACACTCGTATAATCGATCCTCTGCACCCGTTACATTTATTACGCGTTTAAGATGCTATGTGGAATTTCAATTTTTAGAATTATTAATAAGCAAAAAATGAATTTAAATATGTTTGTGGGACTTGTCAGTAATAGAGATCTGATGTATATGTAAGTTATTTCAAAAAGTGAGATGCTGTACATGATAGAAAATTATGTGATAGTTAAATTATATAGTAAATTGTGTGAGTTATGTGATAAAACATCATTATAATTTTTTCCCCCTGTGGTAATTTTAATGTGTATGTACATAAGAGTATACACATAATATAATTTCGTTTGAAAATAGAATTTCTTTTTATATATATAAAAATACATATATATATATCTGTACGTGAATGCTTTTTTAAAGGCAAAGTATGCGGAGAGAGATAATACAAGCAATGTTATTCATGTCGATGTGCACGTCGATAGAGCCAAATTAACATAATATAGTGTAACCAGGCAGTTATAAAATACACCATTACTCGGTTGTCCATAGTCGAACTAACTGCTGCCAGCCACTAGTCAATAGATTTAGGTTATATTCAAACAATAATATAAAAATTATAAATCTGATAGATTTACGAAAATTGTTAAGGTTTAATTTGTTAGAAATTTATTTATAGATTTTATATATATAGAAAAGTGTATATATATGTACTTAAAAGAAGAGAATATGAAATGTTAAAAAGAGTTCAGAGTTAAATATATTAAAAAAAAAAAAATTTAAAGTTTTCGACATATGAGTTTTGTCAAGTCGAATATTTTAAAATCAGAAAAAAAAGAAATTTTAACAAATCCGATAGACGAGGATTCAAAGTAAAAGTTTTTAATGGTAAAACAAAGCCCAACATTCCTCACCAAATGAAAATAATAATAATAATAATCGTCAAGCGAAACGATAATCACTTGTCTAACTATTTCCACGAATAAACAAAATAATAATAATATATATTGACGTTTCGGGCCACACGGTAGCTTGCCCCAAGTTATTTTTGACAAAAAGGACTCAAGCCCAAAATACAAATAAAAAATAATTTAATAATAATTGCATGTACGAGTTTTTGAAATGTAAAAAGTCATAAAGGTACGTATGTCACTCCAAAACAGTAATAATATACAAGCTTTCCATTTTTTGCATAATGTTAGATGTTTTGGTTGTTATATATATATGCTGTATTGTGTTTAGTATAAAAAAAAATACAGAAAACTTTTTAAAATTAAAAAAAAAAAGTTGATACTTGGAGTATGTTGTAAATGTTATTGATGTTCATTGTTACATTTTACATGGTTATTATTAATATTTGGAATATGAATATTAAAAAGTGATTTGTATACTAAAACAAATTAATTGCACTCTTATGCAACATACTTTGTATAAAACATTATATAAATGCTTTGTGATTTGCTACTGTGCAGGAAAATAAATAAATAAATAATGTTTCGAAACATTGGAGCCAAGCTTTATTGTATTGCAAAATTTCTTAATTTCACAAACCCAAAAAAGAAGTAAAAAAAAATTTTTTTAAACTCATTAAATCTTTTGTGATGTATTATCTATCAGTTTTGTATTGGCCCTACTTTAGAATAAATAAGTTGAAGTATATTAAAAATGTTGTAATCAATTTCTTTGTACTTTTACTTTATCTGATATGGGATTTAATGGTGCTTCAAATCAAATTTTGCAGTGCTGTGAAACAGAAGCTTAGCTATGGGAGGATTAAAATGACAAATCTCTATACATTATGGTTAACACTAACTTCATCCAAGTTGCAAGAATGAAACTGGAAATTTGGATTATCTGGTTAATGTGAAGCCTGTCTGTCATCATTTAGACAGAGTTTCAGAGTTGCAATAAACAGCTTCAGTTCATACTAAATGGCATAAACAAAAACTATGTCACCAGGGAAACAAATCCAATGCTGTATACTCTTGAAGCTATGATTTGTATACATGATGTACCTGTTTCAAAATTTTTCATTCTTTTATGAAACCGATGTGGTTGCCACATAACTAGAGAGCATAAGTGTCATTTAATTTTGATTATTTTTGAAACACATCATTAGAAAGTGTTTACTTGTCAAATTTGAATGTATTCAGTCAAGTCCAAAAGGTTGCATGTATTGAAAAATCAGAAAATTCTCTGAGTAGTGTGTCACTTCAATAAACACTTCAGACTTGACTGGCAAATTGAAAATAAGTCATTTTCTGGAAAAACCATTAGACATATTTTATCAACAAATGATTGAACAAATCACAGAATTAAAATAATACACACACTTATAAACAATGTTTAAAAGTAAATGCTACAAATTAGTTGAAAAAATTGTTTGTTTATTTCAGAAAAATAAACAATTTCATTGGTAAAGGCAGCCATTAAATATTTTTTTGTGGTGTTTTCCTTGTATGCATCTAAAAACCGTGAAGATTGATTTCTCTGTTTATATTTTCATTATGCAATTTTTTATTTATTTTTAAGCTAAGTAAGATTAACACTTTCAATTTTGTTTCATTATTAAAAGTGTAATAACATTTCATCCAAGATTTATCCTAAAGTTTTCTTTAATATATACCATTGAGTAGAACTTGACATATAAGCACATGTGCATGCATCATTACAAAAATAGTGAAAATGTACTGTAGGGACCACAATTTGTGCTTATCCATCAAAACATGAATGTCCAAAATTTGATACAATTGCAATACCTTGATTACCAAGAGTGAGTGTCAATAATAAATGAATTATAATCTAGACAGCAGCCACACCTTGGTTCATATTAGTACACTAATGTCTGGATAGTCACCCATCCAGGAGGTTTTAATTAATCAGTGTGACCATCTAGGTATAAAGTTGGGTACTATTGCCTGTTACGCAGGATGACAATCTTTAAATGTCTAGGGGATGTCCATAAATTACGTATTATTTTCATAGGATGAAACCCATAAGTAGTGTGAGCAATTAAGACCGATAATGAAAAACTATGGAGTACCAGCCTTTTTATTGGAGAAAGAATTATTCAAGTTCCTAAAAGAAAAAATTGGCCGGCTAACTGTTACTCAGTGAAAGATTAAGTACAAGTTGCTAAAGATATACAAGAAATTAATTTGCTGATGAGGAATATGTAACTAGATATTAAAAGTCTGTAACCATCTTATGTCCTGTGGACCAAAAGATACAGAAACTAATATTATAACTAGCATACCTTACACATTATGCGTGTATTTTTGACAGTAAGGTCTACAGACAAAAGCAACTTGTCTTGATGGGTGGTCCAAATGTTGTGAATGCTATGTGAATTAGTCTTAAGAAAATTATGGTTACCTTTAAAAATGAAATGCTATGTTGCATATAATATATAGGCGATACACTTTGGCAGAAAAACCCGTAAGTTAGGTTTATGAATTTATAAACCTGTTTGTTTAAATAGAAACTCCTATGATTAAGAAATATAACTGAAACGAGAAAGCTCTAAAGAGATACTGTACATTTCCTCAACATTATGATAAAGCTTGAAAAAGGGCAAATAAATATGTTTATCTGTAGGAAACCCATAACCCACAAGTTATATATCCTCAAGAAACTCTTATGATCCTGCTGTATATAAAATGTTGGCTTTTAAAGCACCAATTAACAGCCTATACGCATTGTATGGGCATATCTGTGTAAAAGAATTAGAATATAGTGGATGTATGAATATTTCATTAAACATTCATTTAGTTTATGTATTTCATATTTACTTGTATTTCAACTATTTTGGTCTTGGAGACCAGAATCAAATGAACCTTGAAAACCAAGGCCAAGACTTGGAAAGCTCACCTGAGAAAAATGGCTAGCAATTAAACCTTTAGAAGACTGAATACTTAGAATGTGGCACACAGACAAATAAAAAAAACCAAATAGATGGCCAAGAAATTATAAAAACTGTGAAATTCAAATACTTAGGCTCCGTTATCTCATCGGATGGCGAAACAACAACAGACATTCATACAGGAATCAATGCTGCCTGGGTGAAATGGAAAGAGGTAACCAAAGTGCATTGTGATAAAAAGATGCCAATGCATTTTCAGGCAAAAATTTGTTGTCACTCATCCAACCAGTAGCAATGTATGGGTAAGAAAATTGGCTTGTCATAAAGAAGCATGAACAGGTGCTACATGCCATGCAAACGAGAATGCTGAGATGGTCATTGAGTCTTATGCAATTTGACCACATAATAAAACAACTAGGAGTTAGGTCAGTTATGGACAAGATGCAAGAAGCTTGCTTGATTATGGTGATATGAACATGTTATGCTCATTCAATGGCAAAAAATATTCTCTGTTGTGATCTAGGGAGAACTAGACCTTGTGGACACCCCGAAAAAAGGTGGTTTGACGGAATCAGTAAAAATGGAAACAGTGGGAATTTCGCTAAATGATTCACTGGATCAAGTATAAAATGGGAGGAATGCATGTAAACAAGTGGACCCTGTGCCAATGCAAGATAAACCCTAGGAAAGATTATATTTATTTCAAAATTTCCTCTGGTTTGTTTCTACTTATGGTATCTATCATTCACAAAGTGATAAAGGTTTTAAGGGTTCGAGTTTTGTTGGACATCCGAAAATGGGAGGGGGTGTTTTAACTCTCCGCCCTGTGGGCACTAAGAGGGCCTCTTTTTAGTAGGACCACTATGGGACTACCGAGTGGTGAGGGACGGGGCCCGACATCGGAACGGACCATTCCCCAAAAAAATTCCTGAGGATTTTTTGATTCCGGGACCCCCAGAGTGGTAGGCTGCCACTTTGACCACTTGGGGACAATGAGAGGGATTATGGAAACTTGGACAAACTGGGAGAGTACAATTTCAAGAAAAATGCGGACGTAATTTATGGACAGCGCTTTCATGATTCATATTGAACTTTTAATGTTTCGGTAGTAGAAGACCGGTGTTATCTATATATAAACAAGTATGTTTGTTTGTTTGCTATACACTCCTAGATCATTTGACCAATTGCTACGAAACTCGGCATACATTACGTTTACATACTTCTAACTTAGAAATTAATTGATTTACAGAAATTCAAGATATTTTAGGGTGGGTTGTACAACATTATCTATCTACATTCGATTTGCTGGTTTATACGCAGCGCTATCTATTTGCAAAAACTTTAACAAATAAATAAACTACATATAATTCTTGTAAAAAGGATATAACTTTAAAATACAGTATATATAGTATATTCACTGAATTACTGCGGCAAATGATTATAGCGCGGAATAGACGCCCTATATCATTACTGAGACAGGTAGCATATAGCACTTCTGTAAAATCAGAAGTGTTACCATGTGAAAAGTCTGTAGTAAGTATTTAATTTTCCACATTAATTATTCGAGTTTTTCATTTCTGAACAATACTTTCTTAGTTCTAAGCGTCCTCCAGTAACCGAGTTCATAAAACCACCGAACTCTGGTAGTTAGTCGTAGGTTTGGGCATGGCCAACCGACAAGCCACGTGCAGTTTTCTTTACTTAAACAGGGTCCAGCTTCCCATAAAATTCTTCCTGTGGGCATCCTCCAAATCGCTTGGGTGTCGCGCTGCTGTAACCAAATAAACCAAACTAATTCCAACCAGCGATTATTTATTGTGACATCGTCATAACGTTCTCAATTCTTTTAGTGGTGTATTGCCCCTGCACGTACAGTACTTTTCCTATTAGCAATAGAATTGTGCCTTTAACTCTTTTCAGGTGAAATTTTGAATTGAAATAACGTGAATTCCGGTTTAAACCGGAAGTTCGCTTTAACCTGAATCTCCTGCCCGTAAGCTTTTTGCCCTGGCAACGCGGGCTCATCTGCTAGTACCGGTAATAAAATAAAAGATATATTTTAAAACGTTTAAAATTGTTTTTTTTAGTCTCAACGCTAGGAAAGAATAATTTTAAAAAATTAAAAGAATTTCGAGTCGGAATGAATTGTAACGCTGTTACTAATGCGGTCGATTCTTAAATAATTCGATACGGCGCTAAAAAATAAATGTAAAAATTTTACACTCTTCGAAACGTCCACGAAATATTATTTTATTCTAAAATTACAAACGAATAAAAGCAATAAAAGTGTGTCAAAATACGATACGAAATATAACGACGTTGACCTAGCGCCATCTGTCGAGAAGTTACTAAAATATTCCTACTTAACGCTTGGAAAAAATAGTTAAAATACTCATTGTTTCACATCTTTAAGAAATATTCGATAACTCGGTGTGTATTATCGAATGGCTTTTAAATTTACGAAATTGTTTAATAAGGTTTTCGAAGAGAGAAACATAAGTACAGTGACACCAGAGAGACGAAAGCAACCGTCCTAACGACTCCCTTCAGCAAGAGTGCACGCAAATTCCCTTCAATCGAACTAATCTTTCGCCTTTTACTAAAGATTACCGTGGAGGGGAGCTTTACAATTAGCCTATAGGCAATTTTTGAAATCCCGCTTTCCGCGGGATGTTTTATAAACAAAAAATAGTACAGTTAATGTTATGGAAAAATCTAACGAGTCATGCTATTGGTTATTTTCTTTTGACGATTAACTACGTCATAACTGTGACAATGAGAAACGAAGAATCAGACGTATGGAGTTAACAGCCTTATATGTGTTCGCGACTCAGTTTGATTCGTTTATAACTGTCGCTAGTCGAACGTCCAGCTGTTCGCGCAGGCAGTCCGCTTGAGAAAAACCCGGCTATTGAAAGCGATGATAAAACTGGCATAACTACGCGATAAGTCAACGAATAAAATGGAAATTTTTTTAGAAATAATACTTTTTCTTGCCATGTATCTAATAATTAGCAGATCGCATCGTCTCTCTAAATGTGTATTTTATTTCTGTGTTGATAGCCGGCCACGTGTTCCACTTGTTTTTTTTTTTTTCTCGCGCGCGTGGGATTGAGGGAATTCTCGGTTCAATTCCGGATACGTATACCGTCATGGCGGCACTTCCTGTTTTCCTCCTAGACTCGCTCCCGGCGCCGTGGCCGCTTGGAGACGAGTGGTGTCATGTGACGGTGAGCGCGAACCGCGAACGAAAGACGAAAGGGGTAAAAACAAACGAGAGATCGAAAAAATCGCTCTAAACAAACTATTAAAAATAAGGAAGAAAAACGCATTTTTACTCACCGTCGCGACGCCATTCCTCTCCTTTTTTTCTCTTGCTCGCGCTGCTTGCTCCCTTCTTCGGTATTGCTTCTAGACTGGCTTCGGAGCGATCGTTTACGAAACACAAAAAACAGTTCTTGTCTTCTCTGCAGATTCCGCCGACCGCTCGCTTACTAGTCCCTTTCGGCGTCCTCCCTCTTTCGTATTTACCACGCTTGCTTACGACCTTCTCGTCTATTTCCTGCGGTCTTTCCGGAGCCTCCGATTTTCAAACTCGTCAAATTAAACAGAGAGACCATCGTCACGTGCCGAACGAAATTAGTCCAGTCGAAACCGGTAGCGCGACTTATCGCAACGGCCAAACGCGAAGACTTCGACGAATCGTCTATGCAAATGAGGTGCCAGACGAAAGCGATTATCGTTCCCCACGATATCTTGCCAAATTTTCCCTCGAAAGTACCTTCGAACGCCGAAATATTATTAACGTTGCACTTGCGACATCGGAAATAAACCGAACTAGCGTCATTTCTGTAACTTATTTTACGAACGCCGTCGCACTTGCCACACTCGGCTTCGACCGGTTGCAAACCCACCTTAATAGCGAATTTTACGTCGGAAGGTATCCTAACGTCGACACGTAACTTTGGATATTCCGATTCCAAGCGACGAAAAAAATCCCTGGATGTCAAATCGCCGAAATCCATCTTTTGCGAGATTCGAACTATACGCAACACGCACACCAACTCGTCGAATTCGAATCGCGCGCACCGTCACGTGACACCACTCGTCTCCAAAAGGCCACGGCGCCGGGAGCGAGTCTAGGAGGAAAACAGGAAGTGCCGCCATGACAGTATATGTATTTGGAATTTAACCGAATTCTCTTATGACTGGAACTACTTTCAAAAACTCTCTTGAGTCGATCGCGATTGAACCTCGTTTCAGTCGAGATCGAAACGATCGACAGAGGTCGCACCACGGCACAGTCGCTGACCTTGATCACAATCTAGATTGAAATGCTCGGTGCGACTATGCAGACGCGAATTTAGTAACGAGAGAGAGTGCGAGCGATATAGTTGTCGCAAAGGAAAACTATGCATAAGCCAGAAATATCGCTGACGAGAGCGAATTTCTGGTTCTCGCACATATCTGACAGGGTTTGATATTTATCGCGTCTCGCCATTCTCGCTCGCTCGCGTCTGCACAGCCCGCTATGAATTCAACCGGGTGGTCATTTTAGTTTTAATTTTAAGCTTTTGAATATTTAATTGTATTGTTGCGAAAACTAATATTAATACATTATTTTATGTAAAGAAATTAATATCGTGTTATTTGTTATCTAACTTGTTTATGAAAATAAAAATGAGACAGTTCCTCTCTAATATGACCCAGTCGACACAGACCTCTGTACGATTCCCATTTTGATTTGTATGAGGATATTTGTTTGTCTGTTCGCTATATACTCCAAGGCCGTTCGACCAATAGCTACGAAACTCGGCAGTTACGTTTACATGCCTGTAACTTAGATGACGTCATACATTCCACCCCAAATTATTTATTGAATTTTTGTAGATCACTTTCTGTCTACATTCCATTTGTTGATTTACACGTAGCGCCATGTATTGGCAAAAAATTTAACAAAACAATTAACTAAATATAATTTTTTAAAATATGTATTATATTCACTTAATTAATTACTGCGACAGGTAACATATAGCACTTGCCTGTATGGAATGGAGAGTTTAAGTCTGTGAAAAGACTATAAATATTAAATTTTACAAAACAACAACTCGGGTTTTTTCGTTTCTGAACGGGGTTCAAATCTAGGACAGATGGACGCGATTGGGACTGGAAGATAGCCGTAGAGCATATCGATAGGAACAAAAAAGTCAATGGAACCATGCCCGTACGGGCGACCCTTCGCGAGATATAGGCCCCCAAAATGTCTACAGGTGAACTTTTTGAGACCCTCAAAAATGGGGTAAAATTCAAAAGTGAAAATTTTCAGAACTAAATCTCGAAACCGCATTTTATGCCATTTCTGTTAGAACTGACTAGACACTCCCAAAACCTCCCTAAACACGAGGATCTCCACCTTTCGACCGCCAGTTCCGGGGAGCGCCATGGAGAGTCGCGCCTCGCTCGCTCTCTCTCTCAAGCCTATCGCGTGTTTAACAGGCAGCAAGCCGTATTCTAACGACACTTCTATCTGCAAAGACTAAAGAAAAGCCCGATTATTACCGCTAAATAGGCAACGTTTTCTCCGCCGCTCCCATCTAAATCGAGCGCGCTTCTATTTCGCTATCTCTAACACATTCTAACTGACGATGGAAAAGGCCAACAAAACAGATTGTACACTCATCTTCGGCAGAGTCTCCTCCTTTCGCTACCTGACGACGCCTAGCCAGTTTCCGATCTTGTTTAGACGAGGACGGGGTGAGGTCGCCGGTCACCACCGCCGCCACCTCCTCCTCCTCGGCTATGTCCTGGAGGTCGACGACGACGAAGATGGGATCGCCCGATGTTGTCTGAACAATCGCATATAATCCAGTTTTCGCGTACAAGAATCCTACGGTAACGCGCACCATACATATATATACACACACACAAGCTTCGCTGTTCGCTGGGCGTTCGTCTTTCCTCTGCCGTTTCTCTTCGTCGCCCTCGTGCACGGATACTGTACATCAGAAAGCATACGTATATATACGATCTAGACATGTCGGCAAAGACAAAAACGTCGGTCGATCGTTACATGTAAACCTTCAGCGACAAACATTCTGTTGTTAAAAATAACAGAAGTTCGTGTGAAAAATCCAACTGTGATTAGAGAGGTTGAGGCACAAGTTCAAACGTTAAACGTGTACGGGTAGCAGAAATACACGTTACACGTCTCAAGTCCATGTAAAAATTGTTGAGGCACCCGTTAATAACATCACGTGACAATTTCAAATAATTGGAAAAAAAGAATATTTCACATATATCTAATTTATAACATCACGTGACTCAGTGAACATTGTGCATTNTCTTTCCACCGTCGCGACGCCATTCCTCTCCTTTTTTTCTCTTGCTCGCGCTGCTTGCTCCCTTCTTCGGTATTGCTTCTAGACTGGCTTCGGAGCGATCGTTTACGAAACACAAAAAACAGTTCTTGTCTTCTCTGCAGATTCCGCCGACCGCTCGCTTACTAGTCCCTTTCGGCGTCCTCCCTCTTTCGTATTTACCACGCTTGCTTACGACCTTCTCGTCTATTTCCTGCGGTCTTTCCGGGGCCTCCGATTTTCAAACTCGTCAAATTAAACAGAGAGACCATCGTCACGTGCCGAACGAAATTAGTCCAGTCGACACCGGTAGCGCGACTTATCGCAACGGCCAAACGCGAAGACTTCGACGAATCGTCTATGCAAATGAGGTGCCAGACGAAAGCGATTATCGTTCCCCACGATATCTTGCCAAATTTTCCCTCGAAAGTACCTTCGAACGCCGAAATATTATTAACGTTGCACTTGCGACATCGGAAATAAACCGAACTAGCGTCATTTCTGTAACTTATTTTACGAACGCCGTCGCACTTGCCACACTCGGCTTCGACCGGTTGCAAACCCACCTTAATAGCGAATTTTACGTCGGAAGGTATCCTAACGTCGACACCTAACTTTGGATATTCCGATTCCAAGCGACGAAAAAAATCCCTGGACGTCAAATCGCCGAAATCCATCTTTTGCGAGATTCGAACTATACGCAACACGCACACCAACTCGTCGAATTCGAATCGCGCGCACCGTCACGTGACACCACTCGTCTCCAAAAGGCCACGGCGCCGGGAGCGAGTCTAGGAGGAAAACAGGAAGTGCCGCCATGACAGTATATGTATTTGGAATTTAACCGAATTCTCTTATGACTGGAACTACTTTCAAAAACTCTCTTGAGTCGATCGCGATTGAACCTCGTTTCAGTCGAGATCGAAACGATCGACAGAGGTCGCACCACGGCACAGTCGCTGACCTTGATCACAATCTAGATTGAAATGCTCGGTGCGACTATGCAGACGCGAATTTAGTAACGAGAGAGAGTGCGAGCGATATAGTTGTCGCAAAGGAAAACTATGCATAAGCCAGAAATATCGCTGACGAGAGCGAATTTCTGGTTCTCGCACATATCTGACAGGGTTTGATATTTATCGCGTCTCGCCATTCTCGCTCGCTCGCGTCTGCACAGCCCGCTATGAATTCAACCGGGTGGTCATTTTAGTTTTAATTTTAAGCTTTTGAATATTTAATTGTATTGTTGTGAAAACTAATATTAATACATTATTTTATGTAAAGAAATTAATATTGTGTTATTTGTTATCTAACTT